TTAGGTCTTCTGCCCATTTTTGGATTGGGTTTTTTGTTTTTTTGTTATTGAGCTGCATGAGCTGCTTGTAAATTTTGGAGATGAATCCTTTGTCAGTTGCTTCATTTGCAAATATTTTCTCCCATTCTGAGGGTTGTCTTTTGGTCTTGTTTATGGTTTCCTTTGCTGTGCAAAAGCTTTGAAGTTTCATTAGGTCCCATTTGATTAGTTTTGTTTTTATTTCCATTTCTCTAGGAGGTGGGTCAGAAAGGATCTTGCTGTGATTTATGTCATAGAGTGTTCTGCCTGTTTTCCTCTAAGAGTTTGATAGTTTCTGGCCTTACATTTAGGTCTTTAATCCATTTTGAGCTTATTTTTGTGTATGGTGTTAGGGAGTGATCTAATCTCATACTTTTACATGTATCTGTCCAGTTTTCCCAGCACCACTTATTGAAGAGGCTGTCCTTTCTCCACTGTACATTCCTGCCACCTTTATCAAAGATAAGGTGTCCATATGTGCGTGGGTTTATCTCTGGGCTTTCTGTCCTGTTCCATTGATCTATCTTTCTGTTTTTGTGCCAGTACCATACTCTCTTGATTACTGTAGCTTTGTAGTATAGTCTGAAGTCAGGGAGCCTGATTCCTCCAACTCCATTTTTCGTTCTCAGTATTGCTTTGGCTATTTGGGGTCTTTTGTGTTTCCATACAAATTGTGAAATTTTTTCTTCTAGTTCTGTGAAAAATGCCAGTGGTAGTTTGATAGGGATTGCATTGAATCTATAGATTGCTTTGGGTAGTAGAGTCATTTTCTCAATGTTGATTCTTCCAATCCAAGAACATTGTATATCTCTCCATCTATTTGTATCATCTTTAATTTCTTTCATCAGTGTCTTATAATTTTCTGCATACAGATCTTTTGTCTCCTTAGGTAGGTTTATTCCTAGATATTTTATTCTTTTTGTTGCAATGGTAAATGGGAGTGTTTTCTTGATTTTACTTTCAGATTTTTCATCATTAGTGTATAGGAATGCCAGAGATTTCTGTGCATTAATTTTGTATCCTGCTACTTTATCAAATTCATTGATTAGCTCTAGTAGTTTTCTGGTAGCATCTTTAGGATTCTCTATGTATAGTATCATATCATCTGCAAACAGTGACAGCTTTACTTCTTCTTTTCCAATTTGGATTCCTTTTATTTCCTTTTCTTCTCTGATTGCTGTGGCTAAAACTTCCAAAACTATGTTGAATAAGAGTGGTGAGAGTGGGCAACCTTGTCTTGTTCCTGATCTTAGTGGAAATGCTTTCAGTTTTTCACCATTGAGGATGATGTTGGCTGTGGGCTTGTCATATATGGCCTTTATTATGTTGAGGAAAGTTCCCTCTATGCCTACTTTCTGCAGGGTCTTTATCACAAATGGGTGTTGAATTTTGCCAAAAGCTTTCTCTGCATCTGTTGAGATGACCATATGGTTTTTCTCCTTCAGTTTGTTAATATAATTTATCACATTGATAGATTTGAAGAATCCTTGCATTCCTGGAATAAACCCCACTTGATCATGGTGTATGATCCTTTTAATGTGCTGTTGGATTCTGTTTGCTAGTATTTTGTTGAGGATTTTTGCATCTATGTTCATCAGTGATACTGGCCTGTAGTTTTCTTTCTTTGTGACATCCTTGTCTGGTTTTGGTATCAAGGTGATGGTGGCCTTGTAGAAGGAATTTGGGAGTGTTCCTCCCTCTGCTATATTTTGGAAGAGTTTGAGAAGGATAGGTGTTAGCTCTTCTCTAAATGTTTGATAGAATTCGCCTGTGAAGCCATCTGGTCCTGGGCTTTTGTTTGTTGGAAGATTTTTAATCACAGTTTCAATTTCAGTGCTTGTGATTGGTCTATTCATATTTTCTATTTCTTCCTGATTCAGTCTTGGCAGGTTGTGCATTTCTAAGAATTTGTCCATTTCTTCCAGATTGTCCATTTTATTGGCATAGAGTTGCTTGTAATAATCTCTCACGATCTTTTTTATTTCTGCAGTGTCAGTTGTTACTTCTCCTTTTTCATTTCTAATTCTATTGATTTGAGTCTTCTCCCTTTTTTTCTTGATGAGTCTGGCTAGTGGTTTATCTATTTTGTTTATCTTCTCAAAGAACCAGCTTTTAGTTTTATTGATCTTTGCTATTGTTTCCTTCATTTCTTTTTCATTTATTTCTGATCTGATTTTTATGATTTCTTTCCTTCTGCTAGCTTTGGGATTTTTTTGTTCTTCTTTCTCTAATTGCTTGAGGTGCAAGTTTAGGTTGTTTATTCGAGATGTTTCCTGCTTCTTAAGGTGGGCTTGTATTGCTATAAACTTCCCCCTACAAGGGAGATTTTTCTAATGAAGCCAGTTAAGAATGACATTGGTCATCTTATTACATAGTGATCTTATAACACTGAAAACATTCAAGCACAGGCCAGATGATTGCTCTGTGATGCTGTGAAAGATTGCTCTGCATCTGATTATAAAACAAGCACTTAATGTGTGTCAATCACTGTACTAAGTGTGTAAAAATAACATTAACAATAGTAATAGCTACACACAATAATACCAGCTGACCCTTGTTTAGCACTCATTATGAGTCAGGCATTGGGCTGAATGAATTACATATAGTAACTTGTCATTTTAGCAAATGAGGAAAGAGATTCACAGAGAAGTTAAGCAACCTGCCCAAGGTCACACAGCTAGAAAGTAGGAGAGCCAGGATTCAAACCCAAGCACTCTGGCCCAGAATGCATCTCTAAGCAACTGTGCTATCCTGCCGGTGAGGAATATGTAGGTCCCCAGTCCCTCATCTGAAATCCTTGGAGTCAGCTGAGTTTCATTCAGAGTCTTGCAGATTTTACAAACGTAATGCTGTGCCTATACTCTATATTATTTAATGTCTCCTGCAGGGTCTGCAGTATGCTATAATCAAGGGTGTAACATTTGTTCAGTAAAACTATGATAAACAGTAAATATGGCAGAGAGCACTACTGATCCAATGTCCATGTGCTCTGCTCTATGATCACATGATTAGGCCGTATTCCCAGCCTCTCCTGCAGCTAGGTGGCACCAGGACTGAGTTTTGACCACTGGGAGATTAGTGGAAGTGACCACATCTCCTTCCTCTGTCTTCCCATCTATGGAGACTGTGAGGTTACATATTTCAGTTCGCCTTCCAGCCAAGTAGGAGGAGGCTGGATCTCTGCATGACTACATGGAACGGAACCCCATTCCCCACTCGTATTTCACTGTGTGTGAGTGGTAAATAAGCTTATACTGTGTCAAGCTACTACGATTTGGAAGTATTAAAATAGCTTTTAATGTCTTCTGGTTAATGTGATCGATGGATAGATAATGGATAGTAGATGATAAAGGATAGAGATGATAGATATAGATAGATAGATGATAGACAGATAGATAGATAGATATTAGAATACTTTCATGCCATTTCAGTTCAGGTTTTGGCATCAAATGAGTTTTGGCACCAAAATTCACCACCTCCCCTGTCTTCCCGGTAAAGGTTTTTCTTTTTCAGTTTACAAAAGCATTTTTGGATGGGGGTGGTAAGTTGCAGATAAAAAATAAAGAACCTGTATTACTTGCCACGTATTAGAGATGAGGAATTACAAACTTAGGTTAAGTGACTTGTCCAAAGTCATGTAGTTAGTAAATGGCAGAACCAGGATTGAACCCCAGCTCTACCTAAGTCTCTAAAACCTATTGGTTTTAACCAGGGGTCATCAAACTTTTCTGTAAAGGACCAAACTGTAAATATTTTTGGCTTTGCAGGCCATATAGTCTTCATTCTACCAACTCAGTTCTGCTGTTGTAGATAAAAGCAACCACAGACAAATCCGAAATAAGTGACCATGGCTGTGTTTCAATAAAGCTTTATTAACAAAAACACATGGTGGGCCGTATTTGAGCCCTGGACCATAGTTTTCCAACCCCCACTCTTAACACTCACAATAGATTGCCTCCTGCAGAGGGAGATACTGAGGCACTATGTTTGCTGGAAGACATCTGAGATGGTCTTCTATGATTTGATCACTGAGTATTATCACCAATGTTTACAATTACCACTCAGTAATTCATCCCACGCAGTGATTACTGAATGACCCAATTGCTGACTGCAAAAGCAACCCTGAACTTTTACCACCAATAGTTACCTTTTCTAGAATATTACCATCAGAGCAGTGCACTCCTCTGAGTACACCCCTAATGGCAAGTTTACTTGAACTGTTGAGTCTGAAAATGTATTTTTCCTTTGGAACAATTCTGGAATAGCTATCCCTGCTTACTTCAGGTAACTGATGATTGACAGCAGGACTGTCGCAGTCCAGAGCTTTAAGAAAACACCATTCACTGACAATTCAATTATGACAGAATGAAATGTGAGTGGTACCCTGGGAGGCATTATAAACCCCCCAAAATAATCCCTTTGTCCTTCACAGTGATGAGAAAAAATGGTTTTTTTCTCCCCAAATATCAATTATGGTTACAGGAAAACTTTCCTTCTAGGATGAGTCATTTCTGTCAAGTAAAATAGCTATTTTCTTTTCAGATGTCAGGCATCAAGGGGAATTATTTAGGCAATGTTACCAATAGGTATAGAATTCCATTTTGTTAGATTAAATCATTAAGTTTTATTATATCTCTCAACACACACACACACACACACACACGCACGTGCGCGCGCGCACACACACACACACACGCACGCATCCTGTCCACATAATTCTCCTCTTCTTTTCTTGTGCCCATTCCAGGAGCTTTGCTCTTTGGCGAAGTAAAGGGAAAGGTAGCTGAGATGTCCTTTCATTTCGTTCCTTCATTTAACAAATATTTTTTGGACTTCCCTGGCGGGCCAGTGGTTAAGACAACGTGCTTCCACTGCGGGGGTGCGGTTTCGATCCCTGGTCTGGGAACTAAGATCCCATATGCAGCACAGGGTGGCAAAAAATAAATTAAAAAAAAATATATATATATATATATATTCAAGGTGCTGGGGATACAACAGTGAACAAAAGACACAAATTTTTGTCCTTATGGAGCTGACATTCCCCCATTTTCATGACTAATTTCTGTAGAATCCAACAATTCTTGCCATAAAGGTTCTTTAACCTGGGCCTCACCCATGCATTTCTATTGATTCCCAAGGACTGTGGCCATGCTGCATGTGTCCTAGTTTTTGCTTGTCACCCTGTCCTTCTGGCCTGCTCCGTCCTTATAGTCTTGCTGTGGGGTATCCAGCTCCTCCAGCCATGGCTGCCCTTGTCCACATTCCTGTGGCCCCCAAGGGCAAGTTCTTTGAATCCCTCTTATCATACACTGAAATGTTTAATGAAAGTTGGGGTAGAAGATTATTACAAGAGGGACAAGAGAAAAAGCATCCAATAAATATCTCTATCTGCTTCAAAAGTCTGAAGGTCAGGTCCCTCTTTTTATAAATCATCTTTTAAATAAACTTTTTATTTTAGACCAGTTTTACATTTACAGAAAAACTGCAAAGATAGTACAGAGAGTTCCCATACACCTCACACCCAGTTTCCTGTTATTCACATCACGCATTAATATGGTAAACTTGTTACAATTAATGAACTAATGTTGATACACTATTATTAACTAAAGTCCATGCTTTATTCCGATTTTCTTAGTTTTTACCGAAAGCCTTTCTTCTGTTCCAGAATTCTATTAGGATCTTACATTACCTTCACTCACCATGTCCCCTTAAGCTCCTTTTGGCTGTGACAGTTTCTCAAATTGTCCTTGTTTTGATAACCTTGACAGTTTTGAGGAGTTTTGGTCAGGTGTTTTGCAGAATGTCCCTCAGTTGGGATTTGTTTGATGTTTTTTCTCATGATTGGAATAGGGATATGTGTTTTGAGGAGGAAGACCACAGAGGTAAGGTGCTTTTATTATTACATAACAAGAGTCCATAGTATCAACATGATTTATGACCGTTTGATGTAAAACTTGATCACCTGGTTGAAGTAGTGCTGGTAATTTCTTTACTGTAAAGTTATGCTTTTATCCCTCTTTCCAAACCATACTCTTTGGAAGGAAGTTATACACAGATCACACTTACAGATTGGGAGTTATGCTCCGACTCCTTAAGGGTAGAGTGTACACATAGTTGATTTGGAATTCTTCTCTTCCAAAGAAGAGAAGGATTTGTCTCTTCTCCTCCATTTATGAATGTATTCCACCAGTGATTCATATCGGTGTGGACAAATGGACATATATTTTATACTTGAGTTATAGTTCAATATTTTATCTTTTTGCTTAAATTGTTCCAGCTGGGCCACTGGAAGCTCTTGCAGTTGGCTTCAACATGGCCCCATCATTGTGGTTGTTTATTTTTTTGTTTTGTTTTGTTTCTTTCTTTGCTCATTCCTTACTTTTGGACACTACAAGATGCTCCAGCCTCATCTTCTATTTTTTCTGACCCGGTCCTAGAATTTTTCAGTCTCCTCTTTTAACACTCCAATCTCCAAGGAGGTGCCAGAAATCTCTTCTCATCTGAAAAAGCACATGCTTGTGAGTCAGAAGGCTCGATCCAAACTCTACCACTTCTAGCTGGGATACCTGGGGCAGGTTCCTCAATATCTCTGTGCTTGAATTTCCTCAATGTAAAATGGAAATAATAAGGATAGATATCTCACAAGCTCGTTGTCAGATTAAATGATGAACCTAAAGAGTTTAGAAAATGGTCTGGCACAATTAATATGCTCAGTAATGTTAGTGATCCTGTATAACAACTGGTCAGTCTCTCTCAGAGAACTGGTATCAATTTCTCTCTGTCTCTGTCTCTCTCTCTCTCTTGCTCACTCTATTTTCTTTTGTTTCCTGGGCATCTAACTGTTGGGATTCTTCTTCAGCTGATCTTATCTTCTTATTCTGTTCCTAGTCACACATGTATTCACATACTGACTCACTTTCCCTTTTTAAAAGCTAAGGCCATTTTCTAATTCATTTATCCATGTCATTTCATGGCAAGAATTATGAATTCCTGGTACCTCCAAACGTTCTGCAAATGTTATTAGTAAAATTGCAATCACTGTGAGTCACTGTTTCATATCACCGTACAATTATGTCCTATAGTATCAGAAAAAAGAGATGTAGCATTTGTTTATATCATACGTTTCTGTGTAACCACAGCCCATTGCTTCAGTTCTAGACAAAATGAGAGCCTGGGCTTTGAGTCAGAGTTCTGGGTTCAGTTTCCAGCTCTAATTCTCATTGGCTGCATCCCTTGCCTCAGTCACGTATTTTCTCTGAGCCTCCATCTTTAATATAAGGACGACAATACCTATTCGCTATGGTTATGTGAGGCTGACATAAAGTAATGCATAGAAATTGCCTAATACCAAGCCCCACACACTTATCGATAAACTGTCCTCATTACTACTAATAAATTTCAGTGTTCCCAGAGCCCTTTAACCCAGGAATTCCACATCTTTCCTTAGGAAATAAGTCAGGATGATGGGAAATAGTTGGAGAAAAGTATTTACTATAGCGTCATGTACAATAAAGAAAAATTTAAATTAATACACATATATACCAATAAGAAAGAATGGTTAAATAAATTAGAATATATTCATAAGACAAAGCAGTGTTTCACACTCGACATTGCAGTGATTACCAGGTGGTAAAATTGATTTAGACATTAATGACAAGAGTACTAAAAAATTAATAGAAGAGAAATGGAAATAGACTAATAACTTTAGTTTCTGGTGTATGATTTTGTGTGTGTGTGTGTGTGTGTATGTGTGTGTGCTTGCTTAAGTACTAGGCTGCCATTTAAATTGTAATTCTTATTGTGGTTTGGGGTCCAAAGTGTCCAAAATTCATTGTGCTAGTATTATTAGATTAGACCATATGAAACTATCATATGAAATTCTTGGCAAACATGATAAAAAATATGGGCAATTTCATACAGTTAAACCTACTTTGTAGTTATTTAAATGGTGTCACAGTGAATTGTCAGTGATATTGGAAAATGCTTGTAATTTAAGTGAAATAAATATAATTTTATATATAATATATGGCTTGTACTATAAGTATATGCCGAAGTATGCATTAAAAAAGAATGGGAATATTCAATGTGAACAGGTGATAGGATTATGTGTGATTGCAACTTTCTTCTATAGTTTTCTGTATTTTTTACCTACATCAAGCATGATATTTACATATACATTTATTATATATTTGTGATTTTTGTTTAAAACTTATTTAATTTTTAATGGCCTTCAGGGAGATCAAACCACTTTCCTCTAGCTTAACGTGGCTGGTTTCATCTTTTAAGATATTAAATTACTTAACTAGAATTGTATATCAATCAACGTTAAGTATTTTATCTCTTTCACCTGATAAAATTAGGCTACAAATCTTGGGAAATATACATTTTTCCTTTTTAGACATGTTGATATCTTTTATTAGTTCCAAACAAAAATGCAAACTTTAGGTAGTACCTGAAATTGTATCCTTCAACCACTATGGAAGTTTAACTCCAGTCAAGGGAGGTCATATCAGAGAAAATAAACAACTTTAAAAATTTTCCTAAAAATGTAAAAGCAAGCATAAAGTAAGAAATATACTAAACACATGTATGACTTTCCAGGCCTTACCTGGGTCCAGTCATGTATACCATCTAGATGGTCTCAATAACACATACTCTCTCAAGGCTGGGTCTTTGATGCAGCTCCTAGTGTGGGAATGGTGGGCAGAATGTATGTAACCAGCACTAAGGCACCAATTAAAGGTTTGGTCGATAAACAGAGCTAACTATAGAACAAGACTAGGTTATTATAGGGTCATTTCTCTATGCCTTTTTCCTTCTATTGCCTTTATCATAAGATATTAGAAACCAGAATTCAGTACCAATCCCCATCTATCAGTTTTGTACATTAGGGAACAGATGTAACCTTTCACAGACAAAAGTAAGGTGATTGTGAAAAGTACTCTTGAGAGTTGTTTGGTTTTTTTTTAGCCTTGTAACTCCTGCTTGACAGATTTCAATTACCATTCAGAAAAGCATGGAGCAAGAACAGTACAAGATACCTTGAGTCTTTCATTTTCCTTTTGCACAAATAGTTATTTCCTGTTCTGAAATAACTGTTTATTGATATCATCCTGCAAGATGGTATATTAAAAGAGAGAGGGGTGTTCAAGGTTCATAGCTATCTTTCAATGTATGCAGTTTCAGGATACATAGTATTTAAGAGAAAGATGGGAATTAGATGTCAGCTTGTGAATCAGGGTACTTTTTTTCACAAATAATAGAAAATCATACACTAACAAAAACAATATAACTGTATTGGCGAATAAGAAGTCCAGGGGCTTCCCTGGTGGCGCAGTGGTTAAGAATCCGCCTGCCAATGCAGGGGACACGGGTTCGATCCCTGGTCCGGGAAGATCCCACATGCCACGGAGCAACTAAGCCCGCAAGCCTGCACTTGAGCCTGCACTCTAGAGCCTGCGAGCCACAACTACTGAGCCCATGTGCTACAACTACTGAAGCCCGTGTGCCTAGAGCCCATGCTCCACAACAAGAGAAGCCACCGCAATAAGAAGCCCGTGCACCGCAATGAAGATTAGCCCCCACTCACCGCAACTAGAGAAAGCCCACACGCAGCAACAAAGACACAACGCAGCCAAAAAGAAATAAATAAAATAAATAAATTTTAAAAAAAAAGAAAAAAAAGAATAAGAAGTCCAGAGATAGGTCTGGCTGCAACCTAAGAGTGGGCTCCCTCGTGGTTACAAGAAGATGCCAGCAGCTCCTGAGCTCCAGGCTTGATTTTTCCCCAGGCAGGAAAGAAAAAGCATCTCTGTCATACCCCTTCCTAGCAGAAGTCCTGAAAATCACTCATGTAGACTGGGTTCAGTTGCAGGCCAACCACAGATCCAATTGCCTTGACCAAAGGAATAAAAGGTGCTTCCTGATTTTGCCCAGGGCATGGCTCCATCACTAGAGCCACAGATGGAGTGCGCTTCCACAGAATTGGATGGCGCACCAGATGGAAATAGGGGCCAACTAGGGAGGCAAACAACAAAAGTCCACACATGACTTTAAATCTCCCATTGTTGCTCTGGCCTATTCTGCTTGGTGATGGGGCCAATGCCAGTGATGGTTCTTGCAGGCCAGTGGTTCTCGAAGTGTGATCCCTGGACCAGCAGTATCAGCATCTCCTTGGCATTTATTAGAAATGTAAATTCTTGAGCCACACCCCAGACCTAATGAATCAGGAACTCTGGGGTGGGACCCAGCAAGCTGTTTTAGCAAGCCCTCCAGGTGATTCTGCAGCAATCTACATCTTGAAAACCAATGCTCTAAGCATATCTTCATGGATGTTGTGTCCAGCCTCTCTTTTCAGCTAAAGGCATAGAACTATTACTTTGTGATTTGAAGTGACAGGTAAGGATTATATTGATGACCATCCACCTCATCTGGCTTTTCAAAATTGTCCAGCAATCCTTCTCTGGTAAGCCTACCTTCCCATGCTCTGCAGTGACTATTTTATACCTTCCAAAAAAGCCAAAGCTTATATAGTTTGCAAGTTGTATACTGCACAACTCCAAGGAGGGTCATTACCTCTTAATTACAGTATATTATATACTACAGGTTTAAATATATTACAACAATTTTCCAGCAGATGGCAGAAAAATATTTTGAGGGAGCTGCAGCTTCCCGTAATTTGCACAAGTCACCTTATTGTCCAGGAGCAGAGCTGCCTCCTTGTCTCTCCTCAAACCTTCAGTTCTTATCCTTTCCACCATGTCCTTCACTCCCAAGCAGACAACACCCATTAAAGGTCTCAGATGAGGACTCGTTCATCTTCCCACCTCTTCTCAGCTGTGGGCATCTGCATGGTGTTCTCCTTCCTTCTGTATTAGCTGAGGAAATGTGCCTCCTCTCTTCCCAGGGCAGACCATCTCCATCTCTCCCACCATCGCAGGAGTAGTCCACTTCTCTCTCTCTCTCTGTCTTTTTCTCTCTCTCACACACACACATCTTTAGTATTTTCCTCTTTTTAGATTCGTCCCTTCAGTGTTCAAAGTGCTCATCTTCAAAACTCTCTTCTGTGATCCTGTCCTCCTCTTCAGATATAGCCCTGTCCCTCTGTCTTCACATGCAGCCATGGCTGGTGAATTTTCTAACAGTCTCTATCACTCTTTGCTCCCTCCCCTCCACTGAAGCTTCTCCCTTTAGTCACTGGTGACCTCCATGTTGCTGACTCAGTAAGCTCTTTTCATTCCCCAGAAGATTGGTATCAAGATGAACCATCCTTTCCTAGTGAAATGCTTTCTTCTCTTGACCTCTCTTACCTCCTGAGAAACTTATTTTCAAGATTTGTTGCCTGCGTCTCTTCTTTTTTCTGCCTACTAAGGAATTCTTGTGGCCTCCTTTATAACAGCAACGGAAGGATTAAAATACCTAGAAATAAATATAACTAAGAAATGTGAAAGAACAACTTGGAAAAAACAAAAGGCCTTAAAATGTATTAGAGTTTGGTGTGCTGAATAAAGACCCACCAAAAATGTCCACATCTTAATGTCCGGACGTAGGATGTGTTATCTTTCATGGTAAAGGAGGTTTTCTGCAGGTGTGATTAAGGATCTTGAGACGGGGAGATCACCTTGGATTATCTGGATGGGCCCAATGTAATCCCAAGGGTCCCTGTAAGAGGGAGGCAGGAAGATCAGGGTAGCAAAGAGGAGATACTACAACAGGAGGTTGGAGTACTGTGTTTTGAAAATGGAGGAAAGGGCCACAAGCCAATCAATGCAAGTGGCCTCTAAAAGCTGAAAAAAGCAAGAGAACAAATTCTATCCCTAGATCCACTGGGGAGACTGCAGCTCTGCCTCCAACTTGATTTCAGCCCAGTAAAACCCATTTCAGACTTTTGATTTACAGATCTGGAGGATAATAAACAAGTATTATTTTAATCCTCCAAATCTGTGGTAGTTTGTTATAGCAGCAAGAGGAAACTAACATACTCAATGACAAACACAACCTGGACAAGGGAAAGGTTTCTTATTGTCTTGAATAGGAAGACTCATCAACATGTAGTTGTCAGTTCTGCCCAAGTTGATCTGTAAATTTACCTCCAGCTCAATAAACATCCCAATAGGGGTCAGGTGGAATACTTAAATAAGGAAAAATGGAAAGAAAATAGCTGAAAAAGAAGGGTTAAGAGGAAATAGCCCTTACAGCTATTAAAATTACTAAAATGTTTTAATAATTAAAACAATGTAGTAGAGGTGCTTAGATAAACAGATATACTATGAAATAAAACGTAAGTTCCAGAAATATAAATACATAAAAGAATTAAGGATATGATAAATCTTGCATCTCAAATCAGTGGGTAACAAATAATATTGTGAAACCAGACAGCTATCTAAAAACATTGGGTAAATTCCAAATGGAATAAAGATTTAAATGTAACAAAGTAAACCTTAAAAGTACTAGAACAAAAACATGGGAGTATCCTTTTATAACTTCAGAATGGGAGAGGTCTTTTCAATATGACAGAAACCAAAAAATATAAAGTAAAAGGCTGACAAAATCTAGAATATAAAGCTAAAAAGATGCCTACTTTACAAAAATCAATGTAATAAAAATTGAAAGAAATGATAAACTGGGAAACAATACTTGAAGATATATCCCAGACAAGGGCTAATTTCACTAATATGTGAAGAGTTTCTATAAATCAAGACATTTGGAAAAAATGCTCAAATTTATTCATAATAAATAACAAATTTTAAGTAATCTGAGAAAGAAATATTAACCTTTAAGATTGAAAAAGATAAAAAATTTGATGGCATATAGTACTGACAAGCTATACTATTCTCATATACAGATTTTGAGAGGGAAATTTGGGGGGAAATTTGAAAATAACTATAAAATTTACCAATGTTCAAATCCTTTGACCCAGCAATTCCACTTCTAGGGACTCATCCTACAGATATACTTGTTCAAAATGTAAGTTATGTATGTATAAGGTCACTCTTTGTGGCTTTGTTTTTAATAAGATTGGAAATCTTTAAATATTCATCAATGGGAGATTGGTTAAGTAAACTATGATATATTCATACATATGCAACAGTGAAAAAGACAAGAGTTATTTCCAAGATTTATTGCTAAGTTAAAAATAAAATAAAGTACAGAACAGCCTGTTAGACTATCATTTGTGTAAATAAATATGCCTTACACTTGTATATGCACAAAAATTCTTTGGAAGTGAATACAAGAAGCTACTAACGCCAGTTGTCTAGGGGAAAGAAATAGGGTGACTAGGGTCCAAGAATGGGAGGCATACTTTTTATCAGTAATCTTATATATTTTAAAATTTTGAACTACATGAATGTCACCCATTAAAAAAAAAAAGCATTTAAAGAAATTAAGACAGGAAAACGATTACAAAATGTTGGAATGTAAAAATGTAGAGAGAATACAAATTCACCCAGAGGCCACTTCTGCATTTCCCTTTGTTACAGGGAAGAACAAAATCTGACTACATGTTGGATCTGTTTCTTTTACTTTAGCTTTTGCTTCCCCGTTGCTTTTGTTCACTAAAAGGATACTGTCTATACATAATGGCCTGCCTCGGGGAACACTGCCCCTCTGCCTGAATGGTAAACCAAAGTGCCTTTGTTCAGGGAAGCATCCTGACCCTGTCCACCTGTGAATGGCTGCAAGAAAAGAAGAAATTAACACATCCCCTCCCTGAGGCTGGCCATTCCAGGAGATATTTGCAAGACTCATGGCCTTTTTACTTTACTTCCTCACCTCCTCCCTCTCTCTGTTCTATAAAAGAAACTGGCATCCAGACCCTGATAAGATGGTCTTTCTGAGACACTAGTCTGCCATCTTCTCGGTCTGCTGGCTTTCCGAATAAAGTCATATTCCTTGCCTCAACACCTCGTCTCAAGATTTACTGGCCTGTCCTGCGGGGAGCAGAGAAACCTTGGACTTGGTAACACCTTCTGCTCTTTCGTTCCTACCTAACTACAGATTGTCAGTTCTATGTGAGATCAGAATTCACCATATTGTAATGTTAACCCTGCCTACAGAACAACAAATATATATGAATTTGATCAAGTTAATCTGGTTTGCCTGCCGTTCAGTCATATCAGCCTAACAGTGATACTGACTGAGGTTTCCATTTACTTGGACAAACACATAGCCGATGCCCTTGCCAGACAATACTGTTATAAACAGCTTAACTCCTTTAATCCTCATAAAAAATTTAAGAAGTAGATACTAACATATCCCTTCTACAGATATGAAAATAGAGGCAAAAGGATGGTAAGTTGTCTGAGGACAGAGCTATCAGATGAAACAGCTGGAATTTGAATTCAGGCAGCCTGGCTTTCAGCTCCATTCTCTTAACTTCTGCCCCCATGCATATTATAACTTGATTTCTAAATAAAGCCTTCAATTGGCCTGTATCTTAAGGACAGCCCATATTTCTTGTTAGCAGATCTTGTTCATGGGAACTGTGTTATGTATGTGCTTGTATTTTTAAAGTTACAATGTTATTAGATTTTCAGTAAAAGAATTGTGTGCACTTGTAGTGGAAAGTAATACCACTTATACACATGCGTCTTGTTGTTTGGGTGTCTGTTCTGACACAATTTCCAGTTCCAAGGTTGATTTAAGTCACAGTTTCCAATTAGAAAGTAAGAATATTAAACCTAAGGAGTGGTTTATGCCCACAAAAAATCTCTGGAAAAAAAGATAATCAGGAACACATGGACCATTTTGCTATAAATAAATGGTTCAAAATCCAGAGGGTTGTAACCCTTGCTTCCATCATTTGACAGAGAATTATATTAGAGTTTGTGTTTTACTTTTCTTTTTTAGAAATGTCATATCAAATTATATTTTTATTTTTATTTTTTAGGATTTCATCAAGGGTCTTTCCATTTTGCTCCGGGGGACAGTACAAGAAAAACTCAACTGGGCATTTAATTTGTATGACATAAATAAAGATGGCTACATCACTAAAGAAGTAAGAAATGCCTCACCAACACAGCTAGCTTTCAGACCATTTTCATTTTTTCACTTCAAAATGTTAAACAATTGCAATTATTATTTTAGAATCACTTTTTCAGGAAGTCTAAAATATTTTCTGTAGTGCTGGGGAAATATTCTGATGAAAAATTTGGAATGCTAGAAATAGTTTATGGTTAATCTTCAAAGTAAATATAAAACATAGAAGGAGGGCTTCCCTGGTGGCACAGTGGTTGAGAGTCCACCTGCTGATGCAGGGGACAAACAAGAGTTCGTGCCCCGGTCTGGGAAGATCTCACATGCCGTGGAGCGGCTAGGCCCGTGAGCCATGGCCGCTGAGCCTGCGCGTCCAGGGCCTGTGCTCCGCAATAGGAGAGGCCACAACAGTGAGAGGCCCGCGTACCACAGAAAAAAAAAAAAACCAAAAAAACATAGAAGGATTACATCCTGATTTCCTAATAGCATTTTAATGAATACTGTACATGGAATAAAGATAGTAGTTGGAATCAAATAGGAAGAAAATATATCCACACGTTAGAATATTTGGCCTGTAACCTTTTTTCTATCATATAATGTGGTCCATATGGAAACAGATGCAATTTTAAAATCGTGTGGATTATGTAGTGACCTGTACTGTGTGGGAAATGACCTGATGTGATAGTGGAGCCCCAAATAAACTCCCACGTGGGCTATCTAAAAAGGAAGCCTCACAGACCAAATTCAGATGCTCATATCAAGTGGTTTAATAATTTAAAACACAGCAAGAAGCAAGGGGGGGGCGGCGGGATGGGGTAAGATAACAAATTTAGGATGGAGTGGAGGTAGGGTTGAAAGACCACATTACCTGAAGCCTGGATGTGGTTCAATGTCCATATGTCCTCTTTCTCTCACTAGCTTTCCCCCGAGTTGAGTTTTGAGCATTGGGCTCTTCAAATAGAAGGTATCTTGGGCCAATGACATCAACATGCTCTATTGAAGACACAGGGACGAGTTCACCTGACCACAGTTACAACGTGACAGTTAACCTGATCAATGGCCATGGGTTTTATTTGTTGAGCAGAAGACACATGGGGCCAGATGGGTCTCACAAATGGGTGGCTGAATTAAGACCTCATGAGTATTAAGTATTCAGGTATATGGAGCATATCTCCTGGACACTTAGTGTCTCTTGTATATTTAGTACACAATAAACATTTAGTACTCAGGTGCCTCCAGGATATTAGGTATCTCTTGGTCCTTTGATCCCTTTCTATCCCTTTCTATGTTTAACATAAACATGCTGTTCTTACCATTTACACCCAACACATCACATGAATTCTATGTCAAACAAACTTCTATGCTCAAAACATCTTAAAGGCCTTCACGTAAAATTTACAAACTACAAACTGCTTTATCATTTAAAATGGAATTGAATACTCTCAGAAGTAAACATATATTACGTCCATATTATCGACTTAATCCATACTCTTCTGTGGAAACTTCGATATGAAGGAAACAAGTGTAAACAATAAATCTGAATGTCTAGGTTAACTAGATATTATTTTCACTAAGATTGAAAATTACAAATCAAAAACTAGATTTTAATTTAAAAAATCAAAATTTCGAAGTGTTTCCATGGTCATATTTTGACTAATCTACATGTGTGACTTTAGTTAAAGCCACAGTAGGAAAAACACAATGAAAACCCTAATGAGCTTTGAGACTTATCAGTTTTAGTATAATTCTCATGATGTGGAGTTTATTTTATTCTCAATAAACAGAAATTGATAATCAACATATAAAATATATAATAACTCAATAAAGCAAAGATAGCCAATGTGAAGTCTAGAGAAGTCCAAACATTAAACCAGAATGTTTCTTTCCTGATCATGTTAGATATGTGGGAATTTCATCCATTTTGAAACCAAGATCCGACTTGATTCTTACATTCTGATTCTGCTGCTTTTAAGGCATAAGGCCATTGGCTTTTCCTCTGGGACAACCAAGACATTTAATGAAGAATCAAAGAAAAATAAAAAATCTGAAATTGAGTAGGGATAATCTGTCAAAGCTTCTCGGAGTGGTTTATTTTCACATTGCATGAGGCTTCATGTGACTGCCTTTTCCTTTTCAGGAAATGCTTGATATAATGAAAGCGATATACGATATGATGGGTAAATGCACATATCCTGTCCTCAAAGAAGATGCTCCCAGACAACACGTTGAAACATTTTTCCAGGTAGGAATGCAACAGAAGTCAGAGAGGAAGTGAAATTAAGAGCAAATTTCCTGATGTTTGCAAAGCATCATGATGATTCAAAAGAATGTAAAGGAAAATAATTTTTACTGAAAGAGACAAAACTATAGAATATTTACCATCATACTAATTTAGTAATTTTGGTTTTGAATTTATAATATTGATAACTCCACTTACTGAACACTCACCATGTCCTGGATAGAACACCAAGCAATTGCCATGTCTCATATGTTTTGGGGTGTTTGTTTTCATTCATTTCTCACAAGCCCCTATGAGGTTATTTATAAATCCTCATTAGCTCCATCTCATAGATGAGAAAACCAAGGCTCTGAAAGTTTCAGCAAATTGCCTGAAGTCTGTCATAGCTGGAGGGCAGGATTTTACTAGAACAGAGTGACTCTAGATCTATACCACATTCTATTGAAAAGGCAACAGCCTAAAATCAGTCAGCCACGATTCTTATCACTAAGAAGCTACTAGTTTGTGCTCTGAAGCAGTTCCTCCCCATAAAATAAGCAGCTGGGCTTTCTTTTCATCAGCTTCAGCTTGTTCAGTTCAGGGTGAGGGTATCAAGGGGTAAGTCTGAGCAAATTTTTTTGTTCTTTTCTTCCTGAACAGAAAATGGACAAAAATAAAGATGGAGTCGTTACCATAGATGAATTCATTGAAAGTTGCCAAAAAGTAAGTAACGATAGTAAAGGAACTATCCCTTTTGCTTCCTTAACAGCTGAACTTGGTCCTTGGCCAGCCAGCCACCATGAACTGAGCAAAGTATAAAGATCATATGCCTAAGATCACCACTTCTACATAGCTGAGATGAATAAGCCTACCACTCTGAAAACAATCACCAATTTGCACATTCAGTTCATCAGCATTCATTGTCTATCTCAAGGCAGGCTATGAGGGAAGCCCTGGAGAGATGAAGGTTGCACATGTGTGTTTTTGCTCTTCAGATCCTTTAGAATATTCATCACTGAGGATAAAACATATGTGAGACTTGAACTGTTCTTTCCCCAGAACTAGCATATAACACGTAACTTGTCTACCATATCCTCCATAGATTTAGAATTCCAGTACAGCCAAGAGTGTATCACTGGCCAAACTTACATCCGATTTCTAAGAGAAACATCATTGCTTCAATGTATGTGGACAACAGATGTCTTTGGCTGAACCAGTAATGGTCTTCAGTCACAAAATTAAGAAGCAGAAAATTCTCCCTGAGGAAAAGTCCATGTGGTTCTCCACCATCTGGTGGCAGACCAGTATTAGCATACCTAGAGTTATTTGACTTGACGTGGGTAGAATCACGATTAAGAATTTTTAAAATAATTATGGAGACAGGACTTCCCTGGTGGCGCAGTGGTTGAGAGTCTGCCTGCTGATGCAGGGGACACGGGTTCGTGCCCCGGTCCGGGAGGATCCCACATGCTGCGGAGCGGCTGGGCCCGTGAGCCATAGCCGCTGAGCCTGCACGTCCGGAGCCTGTGCTCCGCAACGGGAGAGGCCACAACAGTGAAAGGCCCGCGTGCCGCAAAAAAAAAGAAAAAAAAAATTACGGAGACAAAGCAGTTTGCTGGTGCTTTAGTTTTTCTCATTATTTTCAAGTTGATATACTTTCCCTTTCCTGATGCCTGCCTTTTTCTCAACTCACATTTCAATGTGACGGTCTTTGAACGAACTTAGTGATATCAACCTACTTAATGGTGGTATTGTTACTTGGCATCTAGTAGTGGAAGTCATCATTAGTTCTGCTACCATTTTCCACTGCTATAAACAGTCACAATCTCCAAGTGCCCCTATCCTGCCCTAAGTCTGTCCCCCTAAGTTTCTAAGGAACATGCTAAACTGCAGACACTGGACAATGGTTTCTCACAAACAATCCTTTCTCTGGCATTGAGAGACCATTCATTTTTAAAGGTTCCCAAAGTCCACACAGATTTAGCCCTAACAGACTCAGAAAGAGAGGTGTAATTACTGCAAACCTGTCTCCTAAACCCCAACCTCCAATCTTTATGAAGTTGGCTCTTAGCTCACACACAAACCCTGTGTCCTTCCATGTGTACAAGTCTCTGTGATTTGGCGGGCGGTTACCTAAAATGCCACAGTTTGCATTGCTCGCTCTGATTATGCTCTGCGCCTCTCCAGTTTCCATGCTGGCATTCTATTAATAATTTGAGAAACAGCCCCTCTTAACACCGAGTCAGAGTTAACTAAAGTGTTTAAAGCCTAGCAGACTCAACAAAATGGGCTCTCCATACTTATCTGTGTGGAAAGTGGGTAGAAGAGTATTTACATTTGCAGACCCCTAGTATCTGAACATTTGGCATAGGCGTTGGTGGAGGGTGGCAGTACTTAGAGGCAAAACAACAGTGCACTTTCCTTTCCTTTCCGATATGGTGAACTTAATTCCACGTTTTCTCCCTTACAGGATGAAAACATCATGCGCTCCATGCAGCTCTTTGAAAATGTGATCTAACTTGTTGAATGCGTCCTCAATCAGACAAATGTGAACGATTCTATCACACAAAGCTGGAGCTACCACTTTTAGCATAGATTGCTCAGCTTTACACTGAGGCATATTATGCAAACAAGCTTTGTTTTAATATAAAGCAATCCCCAAAAGATTTGAGTTTTCCATTTATAAATCTGCATCCTTCTCATAATGCCACTGAGTTCATGGGATGTTCTAAGTCAGTTCATACCCTGTGAATATTCAAAAGTAATAGGATCTGGCATATAGTTTTATTGATTCTTTAGCCACGGGATTATTGAGGCTTTCACAGTATCGGTGATTTTAAAATATCTGTGTTTTTTGCTATTCATTTGTATGTATTCAGCCCCAGGATTTTAAATGGTTTTCTGACATACTGGCGTCTGCACTTAATTTCCAGATATTAGTTTTCATGTTTGTATGCTGTAATTCCATTTATACTTTAAGTAAACAAAACAAGGTTACTACAATTGGAAAAAAACAGACAGACAAACACATAGTCCCAGTTTCTCTGGATTTGCTTCCTTCTGTTAAAGACATTCATTTACCTGGCACTTTTTTATAACATGAAACAAGTCAGTTTATCACCAGATGTCAGCATATGCCTAATAAAGCTTATTTAATAAGCATTTCTTAATTTTTCATAATACATATTACAGCCAAGGCCTACATGATGTATGTAATTTTGGATTTGTTCAGTCCTACAGGTTGACTGTTGTTATGTCACTAAGTGGAAGTCCAAAAAGGTGTGAAACAAAGCGAGGATGTCCACAGGCTTAGCAAAGGTCAGGACATCTGTCATCCAGTATGTGGCAATGCTTAGCAACAAGTAATCCTTAACTGCATTCAAGGCCTATTCCATCCTCTTGCCTGACTCCCTCATGGCACCTTTACATTAGATGCCATTTAGGGACAAACAAACCTTTGCTACCCTAATGCCTACCAAGAACAAACAGCAAGCAGAATTCACTTTGAAAGCACCAGTGATTCCATTATATCGAGAACTATAATATCAAAATTTAATAGAAAAGGAATATAAGTGCTAAGCAACTCATCTGGATTGTATTATGATTTAGCTCATCATAAAACTCCAATAATTCAGATTATTTTTAATGATCTTAAGCCAAAATTGTAAAGTTGCCACAATATTACTAAAGATACACACACCTTCCCTGTTTGTTTTGCAGAAATATCACAAAGACCAAGAGGCTAGAGTAGGAGGAAATTTGCAACTGTCTTTGCAACAATAAATCAGGTATCTATTCTGGTGTAGAGATAGGATGTTGAAAGCTGCCCTGCTATCACCAGTGTAGAAATTAAGAGTAGTACAATACATGTACACTGAACTTGGCCATCACGTGTTTGTGTAAATTCAATGTGCACATTTTGTATTTCAAAAAGAAAAAATAAAAGCAAATAAAATGTTTATAACTCTACTGTCTATGTTACAGGTCTTTATTGCAATAAATTTTATAATTACTAGATTAAAAACGTTACATTTTTCTTATGGCATTTTTCTAAAAGGTAGAGATCTCGGTCTTTGGGTGGAGCTAAGTGCAAGGATAGAGGAATCAGGGCAAGGCCAGTGGGCAGGCAGGCCTGTGAGCAGATGAGACCTGAGGATGTGACTAGACACTTGAGGACAGAGTGTGCCAGCCAGGGGACCAGGAATGATAGGAGCTCTGAGGGAGGAGGAGCATTTCTGCTGTTAACACTCTTCAGAAACTCCTCGTATTTTAAGTTACATCCGTGAGACTGGATCTGAAATGAGAATTACAAAGAGATCACTCTTGGTACCTGAGGATGGAGCAAAGGAAGGGTGTTCTCCGAGGCTTCTGGGACAGAATATTGCTGCCCCTAATCTCCAGCCCTTCAGAAGTCTGTTAGCCTTGGATTTGGTGTGGCCAGCCGGGTCCCTAACGGCGCTCTTCCTGCCCAGATGTTTGTTTCTCTCCCTCTACTCCTTTCCCTGTAGAATGATCCAGAATCAGCTTCTATAACATCAACATTCAGAGCTACACTTGTAACTTACGTTTTAAAAGCTTTTTCAACTGAATTAATTGTTAAACATAAGCAAGCACAACAAAATCACTGAATACATGTAAGACTTTTAAGATTTTAATTTCTGAGTATCTTCATGTATTGAATATCAGTATTTTCAGACTATGAATTACAAAAATAACATTTACTTAAATACATACCTAAAGTTTAGGTAGTTTTAATGATTTGTAATAAACAACCATACTTATAAGAGAACTTACACATTAAAAATTTTTTTCTTAAAACTAGAATACTCAAAATTATTTCCAAGCATTCTGCATTATAAAATACATATTTACAAACAACAATTAACAGTGAATTCACAAATGTTTGTCCACTATTTGAAATTTTCATAGACTTGATAAATATAAAACCCGGAAATGGCAAAATGTCTAAAAGTAAGTGCATAGCTACACACGAACTGTATAAATGTTATATATAAAAGGCACTAGAAAATATATACAAACACATCCATTGTAAACCAAATAACTTGCTCACACAAACCATAAAAAATATGAAAAAATAAACCCCACGAGATTGTACTATTATAGGACTTATTTTTTAATAGTTTTCCATCAACCACTCTTTTTTTTTAATCAATAACTTGTACTATGATTCAGTGGAATTGTGTATACTTATCTAAAGCCAGGAATAATGAAGGGTGGTTGTGATTTACAAAAGAATAAAGTGAAGTGAATCTGAAAAGGTTCCGTGCATACCCGTGGTCAGCGTTTAACACCTGTCACCAGGGCTAGTTTCTTCAGCAGTATATGGAGCAATAGGTTGGAATTTTAGATTTGATGATGATAAGGCTTCCCTGTCAACAGAAAAAAATTTAGCCTCATTAGTATCATGCAGGGGTCCCCTAAGAGGTACTACATTTGCAGGAGCATGCCTAAAAAAGTATTCAAAACTCCAAACACACAAAATGGGATAGGAGCAGAATGATGGAAACAGAACTTTTTTTCTGAGTTAAATAAAATATACGTTGTCTCTTTTTGTGGTTTAAAAATATTTAACTAGAAAAATAGTTAGGAACCAGACTACCAGTACTTGAATCCAGCTTCTGCCAGTCACTTCACTGTCAAATCTGGGGCTAATTACTTCTCTGCATCTCAGTTTCTAGCTCTTTACGGGGGGATAACAACAAAAATCCACCTCTCAGGGATGTAGCGAAGATTAAATGAGTTTAATGTCTAAAATATACTCAATAGAGTACCTCTCATGTAATAAGTTCTTACTTGTTCGATAAAGATCAGGATGTATATATGTATGTATTTTTTTCAAGACTAATGTGTATATCGTTTAAAAAGAAAATTAGGGCTTCCCTGGTGGCGCAGTGGTTGAGAGTCCGCCTGCTGATGCAGGGGACACGGGTTCGTGCCCCAGTCCGGGAAGATCCCACATGCCGCAGAGCGGCTGGGCCCGTGAGCCATGGCCGCTAAGCCTGTGCGTCCGGAGCCTGTGCTCCACAACGGGAGAGGCCACAACAGTGAGAGCTCCACGTACCACAAAAAAAAAAAAAAAAAAAAAGGAAAATTAAATCAGGCTGAGAATGAACCAATTTCAGTTTAAGGCAGATAGCAAACTGATTAGTTCTAAAAAATGACACTGGCTGTCTGTAACTGATATTTTAGTTTCTCTAGAAGTTGAGTCTTTTCATCATTGTGATACACGTGAGCCTTAAGAAATGAGAAACTATAATATTGAGAAGAATCTCTCATAAAGACTCATCTCCAATATTTAAAGAAAGAGAAAGATGTAAACATTTAAGTTTTTAGAAAGGAAAGAACATCATTAATTTCATGATGGATTATAAAGTACCTAAAGCAAGCACAATAATAATTAAGCCAAGGGGAAGTCTTTGATATGTGATTGAAACTTCCTGTTGCAATTACATTAATTATTACTAAAATATTATGTAGGACATTAGAAGGGGGAACAAGAAGAGCAAAAGTATGAGGGAATAAACAACACTTAATAGTCCTTATAACTTCAAAATCTTTTTAAATTCTGTATTAGCATGATTAAAAACTAATGAGATTGAGTGGCAATAAGAGAACTTCCTTGCTAGCTATCACTGGGACCCTTGGATCGGTCACCTACATCCTCAGTATTCCCCCTCCAAATCCTAGTGTGCTATTTCTAACCTGTATTTACTCAAGAACTATCCCCTCCTCCACACACCCCCCCCTCAAGAAATCTAACCTGCTGGGCCCACCCCTTTCTAATCGCCCATGTCCCATACCAGCACAGGATGTGTGAAAACCATCTGGGGAGAGTTTCAGATTGAAAAGCCTTGCCATGTTATTTAGCATGTGTTTATCTGCATTTCACAGAGAGGAAAGGGTGAATTATTTCGCATTCCAATTCTCAGAACACGTTTGTAAGCAAGAAGAATCTCCTTTCTGCTGGGAAGGGACACTGGATTGACTGCGGGATGATTCTGTGCATCTCAACAAGGTGTCAGAAGGTTAACCCTCCGCCTAGACCCACACACAACAAAGAAATTCATCATCTAGTAGCCCAGGGACTGACTTCCTCCTCATAAACTTTATTCTAGGCATTCATCATGAAAAGAATATATAATCAGTTTTAAAAGTCACTGAAATTGGTCAAATTAAGTAATTTAGGCAATGCTTAAACTCAAACATCTGCCGTTTTAAGATTGTATCGATCACGCAAATTTTCTTTATAATCAAATACCTAGAGTGTAACTAAGTTCTACAATGTTAAGATAATCACATGCAACTCTATCATTAAGATCTGATTAAATGTAATCTCCAAAACATGGTGGAATTACTGCATTATGGAAATATTTCCAAGACTAGATTATTTGAACACTTCTTTCAAGTGATGAAAATTCAATTAACCCAGTTATTTCACAACACACAGACAGTAATGCAATCCCCCACGGCTCTGCACCTTCTTGCAAGTTAGACTAGTCAGCTGAATCATTCCTCTGTGTGCATGTGAGCATGCTCGAGCGAGCACACATGCCTTCCAGAGAGAACAATGCAGCCACCTGGGAACCTCATTTCAATCTTCGATTATGGGCAGATTGTAAATTTGTCAGACAGAGAAGATGGCAAATGAAAGGAAAAATAACACTTTTTCTTCAATGAGTTAAGTTAATCCTTTTGTTTTCTGAATTTCCCAAGGGTCAAAGCAAAAACATACAAAATACAAAATACAACCAAAATAAAAAAAAACGTACAGCTGTACTACACAGAGTGTGGTACAGTAAGCATGGTGCAGTGCACAGGCCCTATGTTAACCTGGGTCTGAATCCTCGTGCTTATAAACTGTGTGACCTACTGTATAGCACAGGGAACTATACTCAATATTTTATAATAACCTATAAGGGAAAAGCACCTGAAAAAGAATATGTACACACACACACACATATATGTATAACTGAATCACTGTGCTGTACACCTGAAACTAACACAACATTGTAAATCAACTATACTTCAATTAAGAAAGACAAAACAAAACTGTGTGACCTCGGCAAGACAGAAACTCTGAGCTCTAAAATGAGAATAATAATATCAACTCCACGTGGTTACTTGAGCCTGAAGTGAGATAATATATGTTATTCAGTCAATTTCACAGTACAATCAAAATGTTTAAAAAGTATGATTTATGGGGAATAATGTTCACTTACACTTCCACCATGCTGCTCCAGCTTCTGTAATGCAGTGGTGATTGGTTCTTTGAATTTCTTGTCCCTTAGTCTCCTGGAAAGCTTTTCAAATAAGATTAAGGGAATGAAATGATTTGAAAAAGTAACACTATTCACTATAAACATAAGTAAAACTTCACTAATAGGCTAACTAGAAATAATACCATTGAGTCTTTACTGTATAGTAAGTACATAAACCCCACTTAGTTTGTTTTAGATTTCAAGGCTTCTTTTAGGAAACATCTCATTAAAATTTACATATAATAAACACCACTGTATTTGTTTAAAAAAATGGATTTCTATTATCTGAAACAATACCAACCCTACAAAATCTACTACAGTACTAGCATACTGTAAGTTTTCCAGAGTAAGTTTTCTAAGAAATTGTATACATTCCCATTCTGTAATTTGCAAGAGCATCTGCAGGACTACGATGGAAAGCTAAGCTTCTAAAACACACGTGTTTCCTACAGTTAAAAAAGGAAGACAACAGAACAGAGCATTTACATGAATAACTCGGTTAACAGTGGCAGGCAAAAGAATCAGACTAAAAACCACAAGACCACCTATCACCCCCAGCTATGTCCTGAAGGGGCCTCCTTGGACAGGTGGAGCTCTGGCTAAGAAGGGAGAGAGCACAGGTGAGCGAGAACAAGAGCAAAGAGGGAAAGGGCGCAATTCAGGCCCTCAGGCACAACTCATAGCTGTGTTCTCCCACCAAGTGTCTGCAACACTCACCCAAAGACCTAAACATTTCAGCTACAGCAGGACTTGCTCACGGCTCCACCTTCTGGGGATAAAAATGGAGCCCAGGCAAGAATTCCTCATTGATCAAACACATAAAGCCCCTGTCCTAGAGTAGGTTTCTGGTTCTTCCTCTTCCCAGATCTGTGAGTAACCCCGGCATACTTCCCACCACTGAGCACTGAGGAATGGGTCCTTTCAGCAGGTCATCAAAGGTTAGGGAGGGTCAGAAGAGACACCCAGAAAGATTAAAAATGTGACAAAAGCAACTCTAAAAGAGAGGACAGGCTGGGCTTATCAACATCCTGGGGATGAACAGAAAAGGCACCTCTTATAGATCTTAAGTTTGCTTTCTTCGAGACCATGTTCTCAGGCATGGGAGTGCAGGACAAACAATGAACCACCACCATCAGAACCACCACAGATGCCCATTTACAAAGTACAGATTCTTGGTCCCACCCCATAAATTGCTCTATCAGAATCGCAGGACAAAGGCCCAGGTTCTGCACTTTTAGCAAGATTCCCAGGTGATTTCTTTCTTTCTTCCTTCAAGTTTGAGGATCACTGTCCTAGGGTCAGTGGACAGTCTCTCAGAGTTGAAGCTCAGAAAGGATATGACTTATTTCACATATGAAGAAAATCAGTTGTATATAGGTTCAGTAACTGGTTTTGAAATTCTTTTTCTAGAAGACGAGTCCTTTCTTAAACACCTAATGTAGAAGTTTATGAGACATGAAAGTGGAGCCTTTCTGGCTGAAGGGGGTGGTGGATGAGGGGAGGGGAGGGAGCATCTAGCGCCTCAGTGGTCCTCATGGTATGTAGCTAACAGACCAGGGACAAACCTCCACATGTCCTGTTTCCAAGGATCTCTCCTCTGTGGAATCCCACTGGGGTGTGAAGCCCAGTGTGGTAGCTAGGTCTCCCCAAAGTGTTGCCGCCCCATGAAGGGAAGAGGTCCTTTCAGTCAGTCCTTGTCTTAGGAAAAGCAGAGCTGTGGGCAGGAATGTGACTGACCAAAGATTAATGCTACCGTCCCTTAAAAAAAAAAAGAAAATAGTTTAACTGTTGATCTGGTCTTCTCCCTCCGCCAACACTGGGCAGGAATGGGAGGCTGTTTAGGAAGCTCAACTTCCAGTTGGGGGAAGGATCCTTTTATCTCCATGTCACTTCCTCTTCACCTCATCCTAATTCTCTCAGAGGACGTCCTTGCTACTTATTTCTCCCCCAAACAAAAACCAACCTCCACAGGGACAGGGGGCATATCTGGTTTTGTTCAGCATTATATTCCCTGTGCCTCACATGATACCTGACACAAAATGGGAAGGCAGAGAACAGCAGATTTATGTTGAACTGCTGAATGTTTGAACGAAGCAATCAATCTACAATGAGTCATTCTACATATTACTGTGAAATTCCTGTAGTTAGTCAGCCACAACCCAACCTGCTGACCTGAGGGTGATAAGCAAGGATCTGCCAGGATTCTCCTCCTTCTGTCCTGAGACTCTCCATATGTTAACATTTGAGAGTCTGGTCTCACTCTGTCTTCTCCCCACCAGACCCATGGTGAGACTTTATCTCCTACCATTTCTAACCACAGCACCCCTACTTGCACCACCACCCCTTCTTTCCATAGGCTTAGCCAGGTGGTTCCTGGGGTGTATTAGTCTATCTGCAGTATAAGAAGTTAAAAATACACTTCTAGGATCTCTCAGGTGGATGGGTCCAAGAAAAAAGTGGAACTATGATCAACATAGATGTCTCTGCTCTGAACTACAGAAGGATGCCTGCAGAGAAATTCTAGCTACAGCTTATCCCAGCCAGGACTTTAACCTTTCTTTCAGTGTGTGCAGTAAAGGATTAACTCTGCATAAAGAAAGGCTTGGTCCTTGCCCCTGGCTCCTGGATGGAAACCTTGAAGCTCTTGGAAGGTCCTTCCAGATAAGAATGTCTTTGTTTACCTGGGGCCTTGGGCCACACCAGATAGTCAATGCTAACAAAAGTGATTTAAGTGGGGGCCTCGGGCCACAAGGTAGCAGCTCAACTTCTAGAGGCTGGAGACCAAGGTCAACCAGGCAGGCAGGCGGTGATGCCATGTGACAAACTTCTAATGAGAACCCTGGACACCCAGGCTCAGGTGAGCTTCCCGTGCTGGCAACACTCCATGCATCATGCCAGACGTCACTGCTGGAAAATGCAAGCACTGGCCACACAGCTCCACTGGGAGAGGACAACTGAAGCTCCACACCTGGTCTCTCTCAGCCCTGCTCCATGCACCTCCTCCCTTGGCCGACTTCAATCTGTATCCTTTCACTGTAATAAACTGCAACACTGAATAACAGCTTCTCTGAGTTCCATGAGTCCTTTCAGCAAGTTGTTCAACCTAAGGGTGGTCTTGGGGACCACTTGAACTGCAGAGTACCCCAATATAAGTTTGTGATATGGTTAAACTACTCCTAACAGGAAAATGTCTCATCCTGAATGCTAGAGACTCACTAAAAAACTTACAATGTGAAACAAAGAAAAAGAAAAAAGATGAAAAACATCACTTTGACAATATCCAATTCCACAAGAATACGTATAAGCTCTGCTTATAATTCATAGCCAGTCCACATAGCCATGAAGTCCTCACACTTCATTAATTTTTGTCCATTCAACTTCTGCTTACTTTGATTACAACTCTAAATTTGCTCATGTGGCTGCTTTCCATGTCCACTAGTAAAAATATTTTATGAACAACTAGGTCTGACGTCTATATTTTTTGGTTAGGATGATAAGGTTTTCTTAATGTTTTGAATCATTTTAATGATTAATTTGAAGCCATTACATCAGAAAGAGATACATACAAACAATCCCTACCTCATCTTTTCAGTACTTACACTTGTAAGCAGATGTTTCAGATGGTCATTTAGAGAAGGGCCAACAACGACACTTAACTGTACCAGAGCATTCAATCCTCTTTCAAACACTTCATCATCCAAGTGGACCTGGGGAGGGTTGGGTGGTTAGGGGTGCACAGGCAGGGACAGAAGGAGGGGAGAAGGCAGGATGGGTAAGGAGAAAGGGCAAGCAGGTAGAGAAAAAGAGATTGAACATTCAGTCCTAGAAGATAGTCAACCAAACCCAGAATTTAAAACATAACCTTCAGTACAGGACATCTAGAAGCAAAAACCAAATTTGGCTTGACTGAAACATTAATTAAAATATGTTGTAGCCTACAGAAAGACTGATTTGAGGTTCATTATTTTCTCTAATTACTCAAGATGTCCCTTTTTACCTTTAGTACATCCTCCCAAGGTGTCTTCCAGGAAGTAATCATCTGGCCCTGAATAACAGTGGCCTAATTCTGCACACACATCAAAATCACAGGTAAAGAACAAATTTGCATATAATTTGAAAGAAAAAAAGACATGAAATATTCTAAATGTACCACAGAAAGTCTAAAGGAATAAAGGACATACCAGAGCTGCCTTCAGCACAGGAATCAGTCTAGGAAGCAAAGGCACAGCTTTTTCAAGAGCACCTGTGACCAAAAGTAATTCTCTAAAACCCTCCTTTGACACAAAGGTGTATGGATGTTTAGTCTCCCTCAGACCCTGCCAAAACAAAGACAAAAACATGATTTACTACCCATTTAGTGATGCTAATACCAAAAAAATTAATCCTTACTTGTGTAAGTAAAAATCAAGTTTTATTATTATTGTTTTCCTATTTGTGAAATATAATTTCAGTAATTACAATTTCAATTAAACTAAGAAATCGTGGAACACAGGACATACATGAGGCAGGAGGGATCTCTAACCAAGAAAAGAAGGAAAGTAAAAGAAAAGAATAAGAAAAAAATAAAAGGAACAGGAAAAATCAAAGGAGAAGCAAGGAAAAGTAAAAGAAATAAAGAAAAAGAAAACAGAAAAAAGAAAGGAGGACAGGAGGGAGAGGAAAGAAATAAAAAGAAATAAAGAGAAGGAAAAAAAACCTCACTAGGATACTAAAAACATGTTGTATATACTCCCAAACACTGCCTGAAATCAGAGCAAATTAGTCTAAAATGTATGTTAATAAACTCCACTTTATGAATGCAAAATTACTGGACCCCTTATCTTAAAGGTGATTTTGCAACTTGTTTAATGACTTTCTAAAATATTATATTTCCTTCATATTTAAATACTAAGACAAATCTTATACTATGTCTAAAATGCATTGTAAGATATCAAATGCCATTTTTAACATCAGAATGTCAAACAAAAATATGAAAAAAAAACACTGTAAATCATTTCTTACTATGCCTTTCACCCCAAATGCATTAGGAACAATTAGACAGTAGTCTTTTGATGTAACTGATCACTTTGAGTCAGGATAAAATAGGTAACTTTTTTTAAAAGATAAAACAAAGAAAGATATCTAGAGGGGTGGGATAGGGAGGGTGGGAGGGATACGCAAGAGAGAGGAGATATGGGGATATATGTTTATGTATAACTGATTCGTTTTGTTATACAGCAGAAACTAACACACCATTGTAAAGCAATTATACTCCAATAAAGATGTTAAAAAAAAAAGAAAGAAAGCAATGGCAACATTCCCTCAGTTTGACTAATTATTATTTGGAATAACTATAACCAGCTGCAGGGTCATGCCTAAAAATACTAATTTTCAAACAATTTGTCCTTGAGACCAAACTATCTGCTTCCAAACGGTGATGAAACACTTCTTCTCCTAGATGCTGTCATGCTTTTGAAAACTATGATGCCAAGCACACCAGCACCATTTTGGAACACAGGTTCTATGGTCTTAGGAGCACCCCTATCCTTTTCATTTTAGAGATGAGGAATCTCAGGTCAAGAGGTGAAATGGATTTAAATAGTGGTGGTTCTGTCACTATTTCCTCATTATTAAATGAGTGGAGTTTACCCAGTACACAAATAAAAGCATTGGTGTTTGGAAAACGGGTATTTAAAAGACTGATTTTATGAGGTCTAAACTAAACTCAGAGTCCCTTTGGGGACTCCCCAAGTTAAAGCACTCCCCGTTCCTTGTGATTAGCTAGAGTATGTTTGTAAAGGTATCACTATAGTTTTGATTCATCTAAAATATTGTTTGCTACCATATATAAAAAGTTTAAAAAAGAACTAATGAAATATTAGAACATCTTTAGTTTTCAATACCAAGTTTAAGAGACTAATTAAAATTTAATTTCAAAATAGGCTACCCATAAAAATATACTGCTTATTACACCAAAATACCTTCGGCAAGCTGAGGTACAAATTAAGAAAAGCTGAGACCTAAGAAAATTCGGCAGTCTTCAGTAGTAACTGTTATGTCCATTTAAAAGAGTAAGTATACTTGGAAAACTAAAGGAGGAACTAGAAATTCTAAGGATTCACTATAATTAAGAAATCTCAATCAGCACAATTATCTACTTTTCTGTTTTGGCGCCACCTGGCCCTCCCCACTAGTTTTATAGGAAAAGCAAATGTTTCTTTAAATGAAGAAAAAAAGCTTGAGTTTTTTCTGTGTCATATTTTATTTAGATTACTTATTACTGTATGACTTATCCTAGAGGCACTGCCTATTCAGATTAATACCATCGAAGCTCTTGCTGTCGTTCTTAACATCAACAACAACAAAAATGATCCTTAACTCTTAAAGAAGACAAGTATCTCAAAGGTTAAGTACAACTGGTTAATTCACTTCTCAACTTCTGACTCTAACTCTATACATTTATAAATAATAAAATTCACAGGAGATATCACTGACTCTCTTCAAGCTAATACTATGCCAACTGTTTTCCTGACACAAATGTTAAATAATATAAAGGAACCTATCAGCAGTTTTTCTAAAATCCTCTACAAAAACCATCTCCATGATATTCTACTTAAAATGTACCAGTAGGCAAAAGCCCAGAGAATTCTCCCAAAGAACATTAGGTAGGTAATATCAGTTCCCTAAGAAACATATCATATTAAAGGTGCCTGCTTCTATAAAGAAAGACCAATCAGTAATTGTTATCTGATGCAATGTAAGTTCAAATCAGTGATATTCTCCTGATTGACTAATTCAATTTGATTCCAAGAACTTTTTTTTTAATTAAATATGAATATTTTATCCACTTATCTATAAATACCTGTGCAGATTTCATGTTTCATGTTTAATTTCATGTTTATAAAGCTGTTTAAACAGTTTAATAAACATATACCAATCATAATTAGTTCCTAAGGGAACGTGGTGCTTTAATACTGTTGTTTGGCTTTTATTTCAAAAGTATTTACTGATGAGTTACAAAATAACATTTAACACAATTTAAAAAATTTGTTTTCCATAAACATTTAGGAAAGATAAAGTATTTACCTCAGCTAAAGTAATAAGAAGAGGATCAAATGGAAGCTTTTCAGGAGGACACTCCCACTGTAACCTGTGTTTTACTGAACCATGGACCAATCTAAAATATAAAAGGCAGTGCATGTAACAAGGACAACATATATTAAGCAGTGATTATCTAACATATACATATTCTTTCTAGAACATAATCATATTAGAATTATTTTGTAACATGTAGGAATACTATGACCTTAAATGATGTTACAAAGGCATCTTATAAAGCAATAATTATATATTTATAATCCTACAAATTCCTACTCTTTTAGCAAAATTGTTTGGTGGCAAAACTAAACTCCACATTTGTTTAGCCTACAATTTTGGAGTTCCAGCATGTTGCTATTTGTGTCTTAATGCAAATGTTACAGTTGATATGTTTCAGTTATAATTATAACCAAATAATATAGACAAAACTATAGCAAACCTACCACAAAACATGCAAACAAAATGTGATAATTAGAAACAATGATTTTTTAATAAGTAACATTATTTTTCATATGTAAATCATTTAACCCTAACATGAATAATCTAAAGGCAAGCCAGGTTTTATCCCTGTTAAAGAGAAGAAAACTGAGGCCAGGAAGGTGCAATGGCCCATGCAGGGTAACAAAGAGGCAGCCCCTTGAATTAAAGTCACCGCTGCTGCTGCTTTTTTTCTTTTTAACAGCCTTTATTGAGACATAACCAACACGTAATAAAATGGACATTGTTATACAGTATAGAATTTGGTAAGTTTTGATGTATGAATACACCCATGGAACCATCATCACACTCATGACCGTGAACTTATTCAACACACTCAACTGTTACTTCACGCTCCTTTTGTAATGTTCTCAACTTGACACCTTCTTTTCATAATAGCAAGAAGCCTCGGCAAGACTGTTTTTACATTTTTAGCAATAATAAATTCTCAGAGTGGGGAGGGGGTATAAGACCCTTAAAATAGAGTTTCAATTCAGAATGCAAGTACAAAATAATAACAACAATAAATTAAAGAATGCTTCCTGAGCTTATTTTTCACTCCTAGCCCTCCAAATCTGAAAATACCACTAAAAACTACATTTCTTTAACTTTAGAACAACAAAAAGAATATTTTGATTATTCTTTCCACAATGAAAACAAAATTTTCTATCATCTATAACAGGCTAAAACTGGTTATACTTAGAAGAAATTAATGTTTCTCAGTAGTGAAATCTTAAAATGATATCACTCTATTAGTAACCTGCATCGTCTGCTTTAAAATAGTTTTGATCTCTATCCAAGAGGGCTACAAGAACTGCATCAAAAGTAAACAAAAACAGCTATATTACTCATTAATAAGTATAATTTCAATAAATAAAATTGTAAATCTTTGATTTTTGAAGTATAATTAAAAAAATAATGAAACAATTTCATTAAATTGTCAACTTCCAGTTCACGAACAAAAAAGGATTATTTATTTGAAATTCGCCCAAGGCTATGAATGCTTAAATTGTTTTAGAAACTGGTTCATTCAATTTCTTAAATTATTTGGTGGTTTACTGTACATCTATCAGTAATTCTATTTTGGAATTAAAATGATTTTCTTCAACAATGTCCCAGGATCTATACCACTCCAACAGCCAAAGTATGAATAAGTCACCATTATTTCAACCTCCCTAGTAAATAAATTTTTCAAAACTTTAAACTGAAAACTGTATTGATTTTACTCAATTATTTTGAATAATATAGTCAATTATAACTTGTACTGATCTTACCTGCAAGGAACACCTCCCTTAGAGTAAATAGCTGCAAATGCAGAAGGGGCTCGTGACTGTTCACCAAACTGAAATAAAAAATGACAAGAATACAATAAATATTACTATCACCTCCACTTTGTGATACCTAATCAACTTCAATCCTGTTGCGGTCAGAGGCAGATGGACACCCTGACTTCCAAGCCACCATGCTCATATCAAGTACAACGTCATTCTACTCAGAAAAATGGCTAAGAAAAATGATCAATCCTCTCAATACTGAAACCACAACCACAAACACATTTTGTATATTTCCTTTTACCCTTAAATTGTTTCAGAAGGTTTGAAGGTAGCTGAAACCATATATAAAATAAATATACTATAGGTAAATATTTTTAAATATAAATACTATAAACAAATACAATAAAGATAATAACATCTTTCCACCCCTTCTGCACTGTGACCTTTCAAAGTGAGGACTAAATGGAGAAAAGGTGTACAGGGAAAGTATAATGTGTTTTCAACCTCCCACACATCTCCTACTTCTCCTCCACTCAAATATGCACGGTCTTGGATGGTCAGAGAACCTGTAATTTCTCCAATCTGGTTTTGTGCTTCAATAAAAATCAAAGTCTTAGGATGAACAGGAGTGACAGAGTTGAAGACAGAGCAAGACTCTCACAAACACATGCCCAGATGTGTCTGCTTAGATATATAACTTCACAACTTTCAGTTTTTCTATATAATTATTTTATGACTAAATTAATTCTATATGCACTCTCAAAGATAATTTAAAAGATGATCAATTACAACAGTTAAACAATCGCAGCATACATAATCTCAATGTAAGTGATCAGAGGCTTAAGAATTTAGGCACAGAAAGTAAATATTTTGCCACATGGTACTTTGAACATAATCAAATGAAACATAGCTGTCTAAATTACAAAATATAAACTTACTAATCTATTTTAAAGATACAACTAGCTAAAAAAAACTTTTTAAAGTCACATTCAGTAATTTAAAAATGTACATAAAAGTCTAAGTTTAGAACGAACCCTTTTTGCTCTGGAAAAACACATATGTTTTAAGTAAAAATACATAAATGACATTTCATTAAAATATAATATTATAATAAAAGATTAATTTACAAAGCTCAACCTATGTTCTGTGTGACAATTCACAGCAATACTAACGTTTCATTTATCTAATTATAATTCCTGCTAAGAAAAATGTAAGTCTTAAAAACTGTGTATACATCAGTGAGTTCTCAAAAAGTGAATATACCTGTGTACCAACACTCAGGTGGAAAACCTGAATGTTACCGGTGCCTCTTTCCAACCCCTTCCCACCTTTTCTCCCAAAGGTAACCACTATCCCGACTTCCAACTGATTTGCTTTGGATCAGGAGTTTTTACATATCTTAAGACATGCTCTTTTCTAATATAACCTATTCTCAAGTCAAATCATTAAATTATTTCCCAAAGCTTTTCTTAATTTTTAATAAAATTTAGACTAGGGCCACTAAATATTACTAAAGTTTTTCTTTAAAGAAAGGGAGAAAATTGAAGTGTCACCATAAACTCCCTCAACGAAATATGAGAAAAGGAAGCAAGAGCACAGAGATATCAGGGCATTTTTCACGTGTTTGATTTCCTTGACACTGCAAATTACAGAAAGAAGTGAAGGAACATAGAAGCTTAAACTATTTTCCATTTTCCTTTTATAAAGTCAGAAAATCTCCCTCTTCCCTTGGATAGTTCATTGTATCCTTACTTAAGTATCTGCCATATTTTACCTGCCATCAAAGTCCATGTCTCAGCCACTCTCATAATCCCCTTTAAAGGCTGAAACCATTATCACCTTACCCTATGTAAGGCTGGGCCAGACACCATCTGGTGTTGGAGCACAAATGTGTTCACTTTTTGGATAAACTGATCTAGAAACTTACAATTACCCACATTTATGTACATGACTCTTATGTTTGCTAAATGTGATTAAATTGCTGTGAGAAGGCAAAAGAAAACTAGGGCTGTAGTTAAGAGTTCTAGTGGAGCTCATTTATAGATGACAGACAAACGGTCAGAGACTTTATGCAACTACAGAAGCATGTAATTCATCCTGTGGCAATTGAATACAAGTTTACTCATTGATATTAGGAAGTACAATAACCATAGTAAAGTAAAAAAAAAGAAAGCTGATAATGCAATTTATTTTATACTCTACAATACTCATCCATGAATGTGATAGGATATACCAAAGCTGGTTTTTACTTTACACCGTCTCACTTCCACACTCACATCATTATCTCCATTCTTCATCATGATTACCATATGCCTTCCTTCACCACTAGCTTAAAACTAACAAACAAAAGAACTTGGGATAGCATTCAGAATGGCTCAATAAAATGTCTACTACTTTGGAAATCTACTGAGTCAGGAATCTCTTTGGTACCTACAGGGTTAATTGTTTTAGGGTTAAGTTTATGACTTGGTCGAGGATGTCTTGCAGATTCTGGAGAACTGGTTGACAGGGAGGATTTCCTTTGTTGAACTGTAGTCCTATGTTTTATTTGTGCACTTGATGATGTCCTTTGATCACAGTTATCTGGAAGAAACAATGTCAACAAGGAAGAGGTGAAAGCTCATCCTGCATCCATCAGTATAACAGAATGTGTCATTAACAAAATTTACCTCTTCATTTAAAAGCAACATTCTGTACCTGTCACTCTGTTTCTTAACTGTACGTCTCTATGGCACTCGGATTTCTGCATTGCTTCTCTTTTGCTCCTGCAGTCAAATGAAACTTGATTTCAACTTTTTTGGGGAGAAGGATTCATTAACAATATAAAGACCAAACAGAACAGAGTAGGAAATACAGTAAAAGAGCCACAAAATAGATATGGTATGGAACAAAATACCTGAAAGACCAATAAGAACATATGAAATTATATCAACTTCAATATCGATAACAGTAAACTAAAAACCATCTGTAAGAAAGTAAGATGTATAAAAATATGCATTTTTCCATTCAAACAGTCAAAATATACGTTTAGAAACTCAATTGTAATCCTCTGGCTATATTCAGAAAATGCAGACCAGATTTCTGGAAAAAGTGGTTGGCATGTCCCATATTGTCTTCACCTTCTCTGGCCTCCATATTTCCAAAGTTCCAAATGTTAACATCTGCATAACAAGTCCTACTTTTCCAGTGACAAAATGAACTCTCCTACTAAATGTACCATAAGTTCCCTAAATTGAACGTAACCAAAACTGAAGTTATCACACTGAAGTTTTGAACCTCTTGGTAATTCAAGGTACAACCAGTTTTCTGGTCCCTCAGGCTGAAAAATTTAGGATCTCTGTTGTCTCCTTTTCTTCCGTTTCCTACACTCAACCCTACAGATGTGATCAGTGTGGTGTGACAAGGTAGGAGCTTTGGGCTCAGATCTGGGTCTGCATCTCATCTCTACCAATTATATGTTTAAGAATTTAAGCAGATTATTTAAACTCTCTGAGCCTTGACTTCTTGACCTATGAAAATGGGGGAAATAATACAAACCTATCAAGGCTGCTACTGAAGGTTAAATAAGGTAATATATAAAGTTGCTTATCCAGTGAATAGTAGTTCACTTCTCCCTCTTTCACAATTCCCTCTTTTCTGCTAATGGGAGAGCTCTCATTCATAGCCCTTGATTCCCTGCCTAATCAAATTATTTCAAGGAATCTTCCACCACAACACTCAGACTCATACACTCAACTGCCTGCTGGTATTTCTAGGTCTAGCTCCAATCCCAAGTGCCATGCAGCCTTTCCTGATCTTCTGTTTCTCGAATGTCCACATCCATAGCACTCTGATTTATGCACTGCTTCCTTCTTCTTATTTCTGATTACTCCATTCCCCCATTTATATGACACTGCAATTATTCTTCCATTAGAGCACTTCCCACTTTAAGTCTTTAATTATTTTTCTAAAAGATCTGTAAGATCTTCTCTTAAGGCAACACAGGTGAAGTCTTCTTCCACTTCCAAATGACAGCTTTTCAAATATTTGAAGACACGGGTCATAACTCCTTAGTTTTCTCTTCTTCAGGATGAATGCTGATGCCTTCTTAAATGAGTACTAACATGAGATTATTTTAATTCACTTGACAAATTAGAAATCTTCACAAGGACAAAGCTCCATGTAATAACATTCAGCCCCCAAATATTTCAAATACGATGTGACCAAAGTACCTTGTGAAGATAAACTAAATGTTAAGATTATTTCTGTACACAGAATAATTTTAAATTTCAACGTTCTTGATTTAATACACTGATCTAATTTTCTCATCCTACTACCAGCAGATGAGTTACTTCCCAATATTACACTTCACATTCATCCCCAAGGCATTTTCTAGAAATATGGTAATTAGCTCATTAAATTTGTCAGATAATATTCTAAGATAAGCTAAGGCAGGCTTTAATTACGTCAACCTAATACTGCACTTCAGTGATTATTCAACAAGTATTTACTGTTGCACCTGGTCTCTGTTTTGAGAACTCCTGATGGGGAACAATATGATCTAAGTTTCTGTTTAATAAAAAAAAAAAATCTGTGTCAAGGAAACTTGAGTTTCCTCAAGTCTATAACTGGGGATAATTACAGTAACTAGCTACTCTAAAAGTAGATGAAGACTTTAGAAAAGTGGTTGGCACATAGTAAGTACTATATGAGTTTAGCTATTGTCATTTTCTTTATAATGGTACAAAATGTTTTTAGTATTACTAATAATAGTGGGGGTCAATGTAACTAAATTATGTCTTCTCCTTTTTGAAAAAATTGGTTTAATACTTGTGCTATCAATTTGAAGACCTGATTTAAATTCAGTTTTTTTTTTTTCTGGTTGTAAATTGTAATAGCTGTCATATCTGAAAAAGATGCATCACAAAGATACCTACTTACAAACAGAAAAATAGCATTGTTCACCACGTCAAATCATGATGCACATTTTTCAATATTACCTTCCAATTCTGCAAAAGTTGTTGTTAGAATGACTCAATTTCTATCTATCTCCTTTTATGTCACATAGCTGTTTCTGTAAGGCACTAACACGAAAGTGCTACGTTATATTTTGAATACGTTCAAAAAGCCACTGAAACTCTTCACTTGACAAACATGTTAGAAAGTTGAGCTTCCAAAGGTTTTAAGTATACAGGACAGTTTTTATGTATAATACAATTATGTAATTTTCAGCAACAATATCAAAACATACACACACACAATGATGCAAACATTTCTCTGTCTACTTCCAAAACACCCTGTTAGTTTCTTTCCAAAACAATTAGCTTTTCAGTTACTGTTAAAAGTATCACCCTTTACTTTACAGACAAATGAAGTGTACTCAATTTTTAAAAATAATATCCACCTCACAGCATACCACTGACAGCAAACCCAGAGCATAAGTTGTTTGTAAAGGGAAAAAAGCTTAATTCATCTTACACTAAATTATTTTGAGTGCTTTTTGGTTAAATAACATGTGGGGTGATGTAAAGGGTTAATGGTGGGAGGAAGTGAAAAAGTAAGAACTATTTTGTGTTCTAAATATTGCAACAGACACCCCTCAATCTTTTACAAAACAATATATAAATCCTAAATAGACACTAAAATCCATAAATCCACTTAACCCCATCACCTAAACTATGTCACAGTATCAGAGAGCAAACAAACCAAGGAGGCCCCCACTGTGGACCCCTCATTTTTACCTTAGGTTTCCTTAGATGCTGCAGGTCATCTACAAGGGATTATAGGCCTCTGGGTCAATGCCAGGAAAGCGTACTCTTTTTTCATTGTTTTGGACAGTTCATATAACCTATTTCTTTTCCCACATGCATTTTCTTCTCGCACTTGGCTTTGACACCACTGCACTAAACTATCTGGCAAATTCTCAGAGGCAGAGGCCACTTTTTTTTCCCCTACTCTCTAATCTGGTGTTTGGGAAGTTCCAAAAGTGTAATAGGAGCCCCACAAAAGAAGATGAGCTCCATCTCTAAAACTCCTTCAAATTCCAAAGAACAGCGACACAGCCCAATATTCACCTATCCCAATCCTTTTCACCATAAAGTACTGTAAATCCAAAGAGCCAGTATTAAGGGTCTTAATATCTTTCCATTTTCCTAGCCTCTCCGCCTCCAACACCACACATTTCCAAATACCTAAGACCAGTTCAGAGCCGGGATGTTGTCAAAGTTAGAAAATGAGAAGGACATGGAGAGAAAAAAATGGAGAGAAAGCTGGGGTTTTTTTTGTTATTTTAAGAAGGTCGGGGAGAGTGGGAGAAAGGCGGCCAGTTTCAAATAAGGCCGACAAGGCAACTCTCGGTCAAAGCCCGACCAGGAAGGGCGAGCTCTTGGCGCTCAACATCTCCAGGCTCCTTAGCAACGTGGTCCGGCGGCCATAGCAACAGGCCAGAGAGGAAGTCTCCTGCTCCGAGAGAATGCGGGCGGCACCACGGATTCCCGCACCTGCGCCGGTCACGGCTCCAAAGACCCGTTCCTACCGCGCCTCTCTCCCGCCGCGGTCTGTACACCAGCCGCCACCCCACGTGGGGCTTTTGCCCAGCGCCCGCTGGGCCAACAGCTACAGGTCCCGCCGCCGGCCGCTGGGGACCCGGAAATGAGGTTTCGCAGCATTCCCGGATCTCGCGGCGCCGTGCAGTGACATCAGACGCACGCCGCGTCCGCTAAGCCAATAGCAGGGAGATCGCAGAGGCTCGCCAGGCGGGAAAGGGTTGCCTTGGCAACGAGGCGCTGGGTGTTGAAAGGGAAGCTCGCGAGTCAGGAGCTCTGTCTCCGCGGACAAAGGGGCTCCTGGTGGAGGGTATTTTAGGAACAAGAGAGCCAAGGAGCAGAGGAGAGCACAGGTTCCTTGTACCTGCGCCGCACCCTCTCCGCAGTCCGTGTATTTAACTCGTATGTTTTTCTCTCACTCTTAACTCGATGTTCTCCAAGTATCTTGCCCTAAACCCTCTGAGAGCTGAGGACCACCGTGAACTCCCGCCCCAGACTCTTCTGCGGAGAGAGCCATCTGCCTGCCCATCTGTGGAATTTCCTTCCTGTCATATCTTACTATATGCTGTTGCAGTCAACTACATAATACATACATATATTTTTTTAAAGTGTGTTTTTGTACTCCAGATTATTTTAATAAAACGGATACTGCGGGAAAATGCATGTACCCTGGCAATTGCAACCAAAAGCAGTTTGGGTTGTCATAGTAAAAAACCCAAGCCCTTTCAGACCTGTCCACTGTGTTCCTTTCTAGTGTCCTCTTCTGTTGTCAAGCCATGGTCTTAACTTTTCGCTCAGGTAATAGCTAACTAGACAGTTGGCATCGTCTGAACACTGCAGGCAGTGTAATCCTTCCCTGCCCTTGTAGCGCCATTCTTTGTACCTGAATTGCTGCCTCAGAAGCATCTTCACTAGGCTGTGAGTTTCTTCAGGACAAGGACTGTACCTTTTTCCATTTTGTTTCTCCAGCTTCTAGCACAGAGTGGGGACTCAGGAAATACTCTTTAAGTAAATGCAATGAACGAATGAATTCCATGTGTATCTAATTTCGCTAATGTTCTGTGAACCTTGCATACAAGTCTATCTTAACTTCTAAATTTCATTATATTGTATTTACCTATCTTCTCCACTAGACTGAAATTGTTTCCATTACTTTTCTATCTCCAATATCTAGGCCAATGCATGTTTAAGTAATTTTTTAAGAAAAAAAAATCCTATTTCTTAGCTATTATCACCTTATAATCTCTCTTCTCCAGTTTCTCCAAGACTTATTGTATCACCTTCTCCCCTTCTTCACTCCTAGCCTCTACAATGGCAGACTTGGCAGCACCTAGCTAATGACCTTTTAGCCCCTCTGCCTGGAAAGTAAGAATAATCCGTGTTCAATACTGCAGAGAAGTGAAGAGCACATGTTCTGAAGTTAGGCTGTGTAGGTTGGAAACCCAGCTCCTTTGCTTCTCAGCTGTGAGGTCTTCTGCAAGTCATTTAACCCCTCTTAGCCTTAATTTCCTCATCATAACAGGGTTCTTGTAAGACTTTCTACTTCATTTTAGAAAAATTAAAAAACAACAACAACAGAAAAAACAGGTCCACTGGCTTTGTGACTTGGTCTGGATATTATGCAGTAAATGGTGGATACTTTCTTGGACATAGTAATTTGAGAAGGCTGTGAGACATCCAGGTGTAGTTGCCCAGAAGGCAGATATGCCCATCTAGAGTGGAGGGGCAAGAGCTGGGTGAACTGTGGATTTTAAAGTCATCAGCACATGTGTTACAGACCAGGGTTCTTGGCCTCCTTAATCAATAGAAATTGATAAGAGGCCAGACAAGAAATTCACACAAGTCTTTGTTGGGGTTCCTGCTGCAGCAGGAGGGAGCGAGAACATGTAACAGTTTCCCTTGCTCACTCCCTGAGGGGAGTGAACTTGTTCCTTACACAGGATGAGGGTAAGGGGTGGGTCTGTTAGGGGCAGGGGTGGTTTAGATGGCCTGTCCATCCCCCTTGGTTGGTGCTGTGTGGGTTTTTGGTCTTTTTGTATCTTTTCGTCCATAATTTGCCCCAACTGTGCACACATGCAGTTATTTTTAGTCCCTTATAGTTTCTTTGTATTTTGTTGCTGGAGGAGACGTTTGTCCAGGTGCAAGCACTGCAGCAAAGGGTCCCAGGCGCCAGGTCCCAGCCTGTCTCATATACACAGTAAGTGAGGAGTAGATGAGGTGCTCCAGGGAGAGCATGCAGTGTGTGAGAAACAGAGAGCTGGTAGTGAACTTCTGTCTCCTAATTCTGTCCTGGTTCCAAGGTTTAATTTTTCAAGGTTCTTTTTTTGGAGAGAGAGAGGGAGAAGGGGAGGAAGGCTGACCTATGTGTTCAGCAATATGACAAATAATATAAAAAGACAGAATGTGCCATATATAATCTCCCCTGTGTCCCTACAGATTTACTCTATACCCTTCTCCACCCTGCTGTATACTCTGGAAAGCTGATCTGTGTGGCCTGGCATCAGCAAAGCCCCCATGCCCTGTGGGTTGCATTTGGGACCGTTCGGAGGGTGGGGAGGGCAAGTAATGATTGGGGATGATTAGTTGGTCTGTAATTTGTACAAAAAGGAACAGAGTTTCTTTAAAGTAATTAAGACAAGCCAATAATACCTCTGATATTTTCTTTAAAATGCTTGGTGACTAAATACATGTAGTTAAGAAAAATTCACAAGTGAAATATGAATCAAAAGACACTGTCTCTTTGCACTCAGATCTGGACCTTGACTCTGAATTATGACTTATTCTTCCAAATCTTCCAAATAATGACTGATCATTGAACTTGGTTTTGGAAACTTCAAAGCCAAAAATTTGACTTTTGTCAGTTTCTTTTTATGATGACATCCCCCTTCCTGAGGCAACAAGCATAAAATACTATAGCTGAAGATACTACTTTTGCAGAAACATTTTTTATTATATTAGTTTATAACCCATTTTGGGATCTTTTATAGGATATTTTTTGTTCCAAGGTGCAAGTCAGGATAATATACCATGTAAAGAGTTTTTCATCCCACTTAGTTCAAATATAGCCTATTAAATTGAAGGCTAGAGATAGACAGGAAAGGAATGGGTTTCTCATATGTCTATTAGAAAGTAGAAAATTAACCACAATTAAATCAGTTCATTAAGTCCTAGGTAATTAATTCTTGTTCCGCTGATCTTGGGTTAATGATTCTTCTTTCATAAAATCATTTGCAACAGGGCTAAAAGAAATGGAAAGCCTTAGCTTTCTCTACCCTCTGACAGGTGTCCGTGGTGATGATGTCAGGTTATAATGGAAAACCTGTTCACACCACTTCATTCTCTATAACGTCAATGGTTAAGACTATCTGGTACAGTCTTTTGCTGAGGCAATTGTTTTGTTTGTTTGTTTTGGACTTTTGACTTAATTTCTGATCCGTGGCTTGTGGAGGTATCTTTATGTTCTCGCTACTCATGGTGTGGTTCTCAGATCATCATCATCATCATCTAGGCGCTCGTTAGAAATAAAGAATCTCAGGCCCCACCCCAGGTCTACTGAATCAGACTTTGCATTTCACCAAGATTCCCCAGATGAGGAAATGTACTTTACAGCTTAAAAAGCATTGATTTAGGCATGGGTGAGGGAGAAGCAGAAACTGCCTCTTGATGATTAAAAGTGTTTCCTCTTAAAGTATTATAAAACCCACAACACTGGAGTGAAGGAGAATGGAAATCTTCACTGAGGTACAATGCATAATAATTTTATAGTGATTTAGTCAAATATTACACTGAGGGTAAGAACATATTATGAACATTCAGGCTGCTATGGGTTGAATTTTATCCCGTCAAAATTTATATGTTGAAATACTAACCCCCAGTACCTCAGAATGTGATCATATTTGGAAATAGGGTTGTTGAAGATGTAATTATGTAAGAGGAGGTCAGGCTGGAGTAAGGTGGGCCCCTAATCCAATATTTCTGGTGTCCTTATAAAAAGAGGAAATTTGGACACAGATATACACACAAGGAGAACACCACGTGAAGATGAAGGTAGAGACTGGGTGGTTCAGCAGAAGCCAAGAAACACCAAAGATTTCTAGCAAACTACTAGAAGCTAGGAGAGAGGCATGGAACAGATTCTCCCTCAAGGCCTCAGAAAGATCCACCCTGCTGACACCTTGATTTATACCAGGGATATATCAACTCTCCAGCCCTCTGTCATAATTTAGTCTACAAGAACCTTGATCACCTTTCCCTTCCACAAGGTATCACACTGATCTATTACATTGATATCATTATACTGATTGGACCTAATGAACAAAAAAGTAGCAAACTACTTTAAGCTTATTGGGAAGGCATTTGCTTGTCAGAGTGCAGGAAATTAACCTAAATAAAATGCACGGGCCTCCACGTCTGTGAAATTTCTAGGGATTCAGTAGCATGGGACATGTTGAGATATTCCTTCTAAGGTAAAGGGTAAGTTGTATCTAACCCCTCTTCCAACACCAAAATAGGCACAATGCCCACTGGGCCTCTTTGCATTTTGAAGGCAGCTTATTTGTCATTTGCATGTGTTACTCTAAACCATTTACTGAGTGAACTGAAAAGCTGCGAGTTTTGAGGGGGGCCCAGAACAAGAGAAGGCTCTGCAACTGGTCCAGGCTGCCTTGTGGGCCATTCTGCTACTTGGGCCACATGATCTCACAGATCCAATGTGCTTGAAGTGTTGGTGCCAGATAAAGATGCTGTTTAGAACCTCTGACCTAATGCAATCATTTGATTGATGTGAATAATAAGCAGGTTTTAAAACTTTTCCAAATTCTCCCTTATTCTTTATTTTTCCCTCTGCACACTTCACCTGATGCGATGGTTCATCTTGTCTCTCAATTGGCTGGGCCACAATATCTATGTGTATGGTCAATCAGTATTCTGGGTGTTTCTGTAAAGATGATTTTGGATGAGATTAACATTTATATTAGTGGACTTTGAGTAAAGCAGATTGCTCTCTATAATGTGGGTGGGCCTCGTCCAATCAGTTGAAGGCCCCAGTAGAATAGAAGAATGACCTCCCCTGAGCAAGAGGAAATTCTGTG